TCTCGAAATGTAAATCATTTCTAGATTTAGTATTTAATAGTTATATAACTTTATGACACACCCAGATTTAAGGTTTCTTAGATTACACTATACTAAATATAAATCAACTTTTCAGTATTTTTTTACATAAGGAAATTAGATTGCTTACATATAATTACATATTATGATACAATTTACAATATCATTGTTTTCAAAGAAGAATATTGAAGCAATTTTAGACTTTAGTTGCTCAACTGTCAACTATATAATTCAATGTATTATGTTTTCATGTTTTTATACGAACGACCAAATTTTTTGAAATAATTAATTTTTATTGAACAAGAAATCATGGTATACAAAAATTAAAAATAGAAGTCAACCATTTTATCATTAAAATGTCATAATAAACATAATATATAGGTAGTTGTAGTGTGCATATGATAATCGTACATCTGTACAAAATATAACTGTGAACACATTTTTATTACAAACCACCATAAAACTGTGGCATCTTATACTCCTCATCATATCAAAAATAAATTAAACTTTAATAGCATATGATAGTATATATTATAACGTACGCACGCAGATTATATATTATTTAATATACAAACACAATTGTATTCAACGTCAATTTGATATTACCGCTTACTAGAAAATAAAAGTTATATTTTATATTACTTAAAATATATTCGTAAATCGTAATAATACATCAATATTCTATAACTAGAACAATCGAGAGTTATTACTTATCACATATTATTATATAACGAATTCAAATTAACTGTTTTTAAATTTTATAATACAACGAGCCATATACGTCATGACACGCAAAATATGGAATTAAAAATTAAATACATTGATTGGTACCTGATGAATCTCAACGTGTTCGTGTTTTTTGAATTACAAGGTGTACATGATGAGTTTGAGAGTAAAGGGGTCGAAAGATCAATGATATTGTGATATTGTGGGACGATGTAGACAAGGCCAAATTTAATGAACTTATACCTATAACAGTCGCGAGTAAGAAAACCGTTTGGAGCTCATATACCAATTATTATATATTATGCAGAGAACATTGTAAAGGATCAATACTGACACCAATCAGTCTATTATTAAAATTTATTTCTTCATTAATAAGAAATTATTATTTGATTTCGTAACGGACGTTTCAGTATTTTAATTTATTTAACTCGAATGTTGAAAATATATACAATAATACATTGCGAAGTACTTTAGTATTACACTCAAGAAATTGCATATCATATAAAATATTGTTAAACGTATAGGCCGTACAGATAATTTTAAATAGAATCCGTTGACAAAAGTATATATTATCAATTTTCATGGAGTTACTCACAGTAAATTTTTCATGTCAATTATCAGCAGTAAAATAGTTTTGCATAGAAAAATAATCAATAAGTATTAATTAAATTCCAATCTTTCAATACACAATGGATTTTAAATATGGTAAATTATAATTATTACACAAAAGTGCTACTCATAGCAATCACCCACCTCCCTTAGTATCATAGACTCATAAAAATGAATTTATAACAAAAAGAGTGTTTCAGAATCCAACATTTTTAGAAAAATATAAGCATATGGCTATGCTTTAGATCCGACCATAATCAGAGGTGTTTACTAATGAGTTGATACTTAAAAATCCATAACCAACCTAGTACCTATGAGGGTTTGTGTTTTTATTAAATTAATTTTTCTCTATCTCAACCCCTTACTATCAATGATATTATTATTTTCACTTTTATTAATACTACAAAAAATAAATAAATGAACACAACAGTCGTGGTAATAACATATGATATTATCTATGCTCTTGGTGTATGTCCACCAGTATAGTAATTATATGATATACCGTTTACAATCAACGTTTGAATATATATATAGTAATTATAATAATGATTGTTATTGTATGGGGGAAAACAAGATATTTTGCAATGATCTGAATTCAAAAATATTTTGATTTTCAGTCAAACGCTTGCTTAGATTTTAAGATTCTGTTCAGACGACCAAATCCATAGCTAAGTATTTGCTAATGCTTTAGATGTGCCACAACGCAATGTACTTTCTGGACACTCGTGATTATTTTATACACAATAGTATGTAATATTATCTTTATTAAATCACAACTTGATATACTGTCTTACTATCAAAGTATTTTAACTTTGTATAAATGTAAAAAAAAAATCATAACTATTTTTATATTTTTAATAATGTTTGATATTATTCAATATTGTCCGTCTTGAACATGTAGGTCGAAGAAATCCATTGTGTTTTTGTTTTTTTATAGAATGTAAATCAAATATTTTTATTAATTCTTTTGCGTGATATATTCAACTTGCTATTATCTACCTACAACTTTTTTTTAGTCTAACCTACATCTATTTTATTTCTCAAATTTGTTGCATATCAATTTTGAATTACCCATTCAGGTATATAATATGATGTATATGGTATGTATAATTAATCAAATATAATTATATATCATTTCAAATTCTAAAACCTTACTATGAATTAATTAAAAAATGTAAATATGCCTTTTTAAAAATTTGTTTTGAAACAAATATATACATATTATTCCAATCATTATATGAAATATTAACTCAATTTAATTGTGATCGACTGACTACTTTATAATAAATCTACTGTGATGGCTCAAACAACCTACACGACTAGTAGATAAGTCCGCCTAACAACTGATAGACGGGAAGGGAAAATAATTTACGTAACATTATTTACATTACTGATGAGTTATCGTAGACTGATGTTGGTATATTACGGTGATACTCTTTGTTTATATTTTATGTTTTTAAGACCTATTGACTTCGAATTGGGTTTATACACAAGAACAATAAACATGTGTTTATTTTTATACATATGTTGATAGTACTCATAAAAGACATTCAATAATCACATTAATTCCACATTAATTAAAAAATATAATATGTGATTGATTTTGATTTTTGTCAGTAGAAAATAAAAACTTTCTGTTTTCAATGATTCTTAAAAACGTTTATTTTTAGCATTTCGATGATGCAATATTAATATATATATAATTGTAAAATGTGTTATACCAGGTTACCAACTTGTTGCAATTATACTTTCCTATGCAATAAGTTTTAATAACATCAATTTATTAATGTTAATAAGTACAATGTCAAGTTGGCCTAATTAAAAAATGATTCATTAAGATTTATTTTCTTACAAATAGTAATATAATATTCACATCATCGGTGTACAGTTTACCTTGAAGAAGTATCACTATGACGTAGATATATAAGGTTTTGTTAAGTTTTTGTAATGTTATAATGCTATATGTAGATAATACATTTTTGGTTTTACTAAAAGTTTCAATTGGCAAGTAAAAGTTGCTTTAATAAATTAAAAATCTGAAAAATTAAAAAATATTTATAAATATTCAATTTTATTTGTTATTTATGAATTAGCTTATAACCTTTGATGTACACCACATTATTTATAATGATTCGAAACTAAAATTCAACAAATTAGTTCATTTTTTATAGTAGTTTATTTCATTATGGATCAATTAAAATGATATAAATTTCATTTTTAATAACTATAAGAACCTAAATAATATATTAATAATATTAACTAGAGAAAAATTAAAATATTGGATTTTATCTAATAAATTAATTATTATTTTATAAATATTAAAATACAAGTAAATGTGATAAATAGGGAAATATTATTATAAATATTATTTTTTATCAACCATAGTAAAAACAATAGTTATCAATAAAATATAATTATTGTTAAAATAATTAAAAACAAACAATTATTTAAATTTCAAAATTTTTTAATAGACATTTTATAACTTACAAGTAAAATATATTTTAATTTTAATCATATTATTAATTTAAGATTTAATTAAACGTTTAATATCTATAATATTCTGCAATAAATTATTTATACACACAAAAATGTACATAATGGATTTGTATTAAGTATTATGATCATATTTTATTGTTTTTTTTTTTAACTTTTAAGACATTATTTAGAATAGTACTAATTATTTAAATTTTAAAACCTTAATTATTAATTATACTTTATTTCTGTTATAATACAAATTTCACCTGAATATAATTCGTATATTATTCATCTACCATATTATATATTAAAAAGATCAATTACAAAAGCCACATTGTGTTTTGTCTTGCTTCTAAAATGTGAAATAAAAGTAATAAATCGCTAACAGTCCATTAGTTACAATGAAATTCGAATATTTTAACAGTCAAACAAACCATATAAGTGCCGTTATCTATTATACAGTAATTTATTTGAACGATTTTCAATAAAGTAAACTGAAAATGATACTTTGTATCCATAAAATAAATAAAAATTGACTAAACGCTACAACTTAAGTGTTATGTTATTTTTTAAAGATCAGACATAAAATAAATAAAACATTAATCACCGTATTAACAAATAACTATAATTTGGCAATTTAAAATAAATAATTAATTTACCAATTACATGCTGATTATAGATATTATTACATTTTTAATTTAAAATGTACGATTTTTTTTCAAAACATTCGTATCATTATTAATTAAAACGATTAACATGATAACTGAATAATGTATTCAGATGTTTCGATTTTTCGAAGCGTACGTTTTGATTTTAAACTATAGACTTACAATAATGTTAATAAAATATTTCATAAAAAAAATTATAAAAACGAAAAAGATGAATATCATTGATTTAGAGATACATCTTTTAATAAATTGAAATTTATTGTGATATTAAAAATAATTATAAAATTTAAATTGTATCATTTAAAACGAGAAAACCGATTCGACTAGATAAAATAAACCATTCTGTATTACTGGCTTATTTTTATGTCATAAATACTGTCGGAGCATCTTAATATTATTAGTATTAGAAATAAAAATGGAATATTATGTTTTATAGTATTTAGTGTGCCAATGCTACCAAGATTATTAGGAAATAAAAAACAATTAATTATATTAAAACACAAAGTTATAGACAAATTGAAATTTTATTTACATAAAAATACAATAATTTATAATAATCATTTCTTAGGGTTTAAAAGGAATTAGTACTGTTTGTACGGGGAAGGTTTGTATGCCGGAGCGGCGTATGATGGCTTGTAGGCTGGAGCGGGGGTAGAGTATCCATAAGCTGGAGCGGGTGTAGAGTATCCGTATGCTGGAGCAGCTGGGTAGGACTCAGTTGGGTAGGCTGGGGCAGCTGGGTAAGCTGGGGCAGTTGGGTAGGCCGGTGCAGAGTAAGCCGGTGCGGAGTAAGCTGGTTTGTATGCTGGCTTGTAGGCTGGTGCAGCAGAGTATGCTGGGGCAGCTGGGTAAGCTGGAGCAGCAGAGTATGCTGGGGCAGCTGGGTAAGCTGGAGCGGCGGAGTATGCTGGGGCAGCTGGGTAAGCCGGGGCAGCTGGGTAAGCCGGGGCAGCTGGGTAAGCCGGAGCAGCTGGGTAAGCTGGGGCTTTGTAGGCTGGTTTGTAGGCTGGGGCAGAGCTGTAGGATGGGGTTCCTTCTTTCTTGACTTCAGCGTTGAAACCGTTAACGTCATCGGCGGTGTATTCGACGATTCTCTTGGTACCGTCGGCTTCGACCAAGCTGTAGGATCCCTTGACGTAACCGTTTCCGTCACTGTATTCGGATTGGCTCTTGATGTCGTAGGTGGAATCGTCATGTACGCTGTAGTCGAAATTGTATGGGGCTGGGGCGTATGCGGCTTCTGGGGCGTATGCCTTAGGTGCAGAGTATGAGGCGGGCTTGTAAGCTGGTGCTGGGTATGCTGATGGTGCTGGGTAGCTTGATGGTGCTGGGTAAGCTGATGGTGCTGGGTAGGCTGATGGTGCTGGGTAGGCAGACGGTGCTGGGTAGGCGGGGGCTACTGGACCGGCAAGTGCGGAAGCCAGCACACAGGCGAAGATAGCGACAGTCTGTAAAAAAATTAAACGCAAGTTTAGAGTAGATCTAATGAGGCATCACATATAAAAAAAAATCAACTGGATATTATATAACATTAGTGTTATCATAATAATCATTATTATTACATCTATGTTATGATATCTTTGGTGTAGAACTTTTTATATAACAAACTTGAGATTGGATCTAAATTGGTTTTATTCCTATTGAATTTACTGCTGTTAAGTAATTTATTAAGTAACAGTAATTCACTTCTAATAATATATCAACTAGACATAACTATAAACTCGTAGAGTTTTCAAATAAATGTTAATATAACTGAAAAATACATTTTGTAGCACATTTTTCTCAGATATATACGTATAGAAGATGTACAAAAGGCATTCTATGTTTAAATTAAAATCACACTATGAAATTTAATTGTCGAAAAGAATTAAAAATAATCAAATAATAAAATGTATTTTATCATAATTAATTACTGCGATACGATTTAAAATTATAGTTTAATTTAAATATTTATATTATATTAGGCATATACATATATACCTTTATAAAACTTAAGATATTTAAAAATAGTCAATATAAATACAATAATGTACAACTTATATTTTACTGAATAATAATAACTTCAAATAAATAATGAAATTTAATTGATCAATTTTAAAAAAAAAAAAGTATAAGAAAACACCAATGCGCAAGTACTGTAAGGTAACGGTTAATTCATAATTTTCTGAGACACTATGAACTTCTTGGATAAATGTAACATTCCCGATGTTATTTCAGATATAAATATAATAACGGAGAATTAAAAAAAATATTAAATTTAACACTGAAACACTATTTTAACTGCAATGCGAAATTTATAATCTAAGACATATTATTATCAATACTGTAGTACTTACTTTGAATGCCATTTTGAATAAATAAATTTTTTTTTTGTTGTTAAGTGTGTTAAAACTAAACGTTGACTGAGTAATGTTGATTGACAACGATCCGCTTTATATATTAATCCGAATGCCGAGTTTTGCTCCCTCCGGGGCGCACTGTAACCATTCATATCGGCAGTAGCGAGGGCGTACCCAGCACAGCGAACAGCCGGATTGCGTGATCCCGACGGGGCGTTTGGGGGTTCCCCCGAGCGAAATTTTACAAAAATAGCACCAGCAAGCCTAGTTATTACATATTATTGTTATGCATACCGTTACGGTTTTATTTTTATTTATTCATTTTCGCGACTGGACTGAATAACCAACTGGTTAACCAACAACCATGTTACAATATTTCACGTTTTCTACGCACAAACACTTTCTAAAGTCCAAGTAAAATAAAAATTTAAACAACCGGAAATAATTTAAAAAAAAATTATAACGTTATAATATTTCATTTGGTATATAGGATACGTCATTGCAATAGACGAATGACGAATAGAGTTCTAAATCCTAATAAGTGGGAGTCACGTTTGGTGTAGTCACAACGTCGAAAAATAAAATCGCAACAGATGCCAATGATACGCAGACAAGTCACATCCATTTCGTTACTTAAAACACATAACAAAATAATCCAAAAATACGGTTAGTTAAAAGTCATAATACCTTTATTGTTTATTATTGTATTTATAATCAGTGATGATAATAATACCGTGTTTTTACTTTTCGTCAGTTTTGTGTTTATTTTTAATTTTTTAATTTGTATGATAACTTGTTTTGTGTCATCGTCCAATTAAGGTTTTACTGCGTTTATGCTAATCAGACTGATTATAATATGGAGAGTATTTTTTAAACTGGTTTACACATTAGAAAAAAAATTATTCGTATTTTTTAAGTCGTATAGAATTTTTATCCAACATCTTAAGCAAAGTAAATATTCTTAATCCAATCACTAAACAGAAACTTTAAGTGTATTTTTATATTTATAAATACAACTTATTTTAATACGTTAGACCTTGTGCCAGCCGTCAACGGACTCGACTAGGATATACCAACTATAGTTTAAGTCGTTTTCTCGATAAATGTCTCATAAAAAATATTCTGATCACGTATGATGTAGTACAAGCCTATCATTATTGACCTTGACTCTCGATAAGCACATAAGTAATAAAAACGTGTAATAGATGAAATTGCCGTAAAATTACTTCAACATCATATATCATTTTAATTCACATATTTTAAAAAATAAGATGCATAATATGTGATCGAGGATACAATTTATTGGAAATCAGGTAACGTAGAGTTAATTTAATTTCTGTTTACATCATATATCAAACCATCGAGTTACTGATGAATTTCAATAAAATATAATTATATATTTTTATATAATTTAATTAGATAATTTTATATTATATAGATTCGGTCGATATAAATTTACATATTTATACTTCTGTCATCGCATTTATAATATAAAAATAATTAAATCGAAAATCAAACAGTTTATATTTTTTAAGAATAATGTTTACGATAAAAAATATGTTTTAAAATAAATAAACAAGTATTTGCATTTAATTTGATAAAGCAAATTGATAAAAAATGATTTTAAAATATTTATCTTTTTATTGTTTATTAAATGATTGATCCTAAAATCTCATTTAGAACCACGTATAGGTTAATTTAGTATTCAATTAAATTTCAGTTTCGCGATTTATTGAATATATAAATTAGTTTGGTTTTTATGATGGATGATTAAAATTAAGTGGGTAGTATTTTTTATGATAATTAAATTGTTTACTACGTATTTTACTATTACAATAATAACTATGAAAATAAATAATTAGACATCTATAAATGATATTTACTATATGGTTTCAAGATACCTAGTCTATTTGATGATCTATTAGATCTCATAATTCTGATGTAAAACATAATTATTCAGCTTAATATCAACGATAATATGTCCGTGATTTTTATTAAAATTGTGTTCTTATTTTATTATTAGTTATTATTTGATCAAGTTTATTACATAGGTACGTATACTCTCTCAAGTCTGATAGAGGTATACCTATACTTTTTATAAAATGACAAGTGGTTACAAGTTAAATTTATACGTATAAACCACACACCTTTATATAATATTATGTTAAATAATTTATAACATAATGTAACTAAAACATTTTATATTCATGTATGTATTTATAATCTAGGTGTTAAACGACTTTCGAGAATTTTCTTTTTGCAATGACTCGGTATTAATTAATAATAAGAATATTGAATTACCTATATTTATGTTTATGAACTTTTAGTTAAAAACTTTTCATGTTTGATGTTTAATAATTAAAGATAAAATGTTGATAACTAAAATGGACAAATAACTTCTTTAGTGGTATAAAAACTAAAAAAAAATATAGCAATAAAAAATAACTGATTTAAAAATTTATACGATTCATTATACAAATATAATATTCAAAAATCTATACCTATGAAATCATATGTATTTGAACATGGTAAAACGAATTAATTTTTAATAATAATTATTAACACTTGTTTCTGTCTACACTAATATTGCTATTACTTGAATAATAAAATTTTGGTATTAAGTTGATAAACCTTTTAAAACATAATTTATAAATGAAAACCATTAGTCTAAAAGTTCAGAAAATGCATATTATCATTATGAGAAGTTATTGAATTATATAAACCGTTATAAATAATAACTAATAACATATACTATTGTAAGACATTTCATAAAATATTTAGAAAAAAGAATTTTTAAAGAATTTTTTATGTTAAATTATAATAAGATTTTATTTTTACTGGAAATTAAAAAAATATATATACATATATGGTACCTTTAACTAAAAAATTGCTTTTAATACAATGCAATTAAAAACGTTTTTCTCGAAAGTAACAGCTCCATATAATTTTTCATGAGGAAACCTGTATGAATAAAAATACATATATGATAGGTAATTTATTTTATAATAATGATGTATTTATTTTTTTTATCTCTTGCTTATAAATATCTATCAAAATAAAATGTTGACATATTTAAATTTTTATTGCACTATTTCTGTTTTATTGATTAATGTTTATAGTATTAGTAATGGATAATTATGTGCAAATGTTGTGATAAAGGATATGACCTAAACTTCAAGTCTGTAATTTAAAATAAATACAGGCGTACAGCATTAATTGTACTTTAATCTATCCCAGATGTGCTGAAATACTAGTAAATGTCAAACAAAGCCATTTACCTACTAAAAATTTAAAAGAATGATGCAGGGTCATTATAATTTTATTTAGCTGATGAGTTAATATTTCAAAAGATTAATCGTTTAACTCATATCGTATAAAAATGTTTTATGCATTACTGCATCAGAATTACGCATTGGTTTGATTATTCACGCAATAAACAGGCTTATATTTTCGACAATAAAATCATTAAAGTCTTTAGTCGATTATTGTTAGGTACCTACCATTTTGTTTAATACTGTAGCAGAAATGTCTGAACGGAATAAATTAATGATTGTGAGCCAAAACGTTTATTTTAAACACTATTTTTAGCCGTGTATAAAAAATTATTAAAAAAAGAATAAGAATAAAAACGGTAAATTTATTATACTTTTGTTACGATTTTTATTTTTGCGGCTGTGTTAGCGTTGAGTTAAAAATATAGAGTTTTTTTATATTTTTATAGTCATACTGTGTACATCTCGGGGAGATCCACTACAATAATAAATGAACTATATAGATATATAACAGTACGTCATAACATATTATACAATACATAATATATGTTTTACTTGTACATAATAACACATGTGTATCTGTGTGAGTCTGTTCAACGTATTTAAGTTTTATTCATTGTTTGAATAAATATTTTGTCAAGAAAGAAGCTTAATAAAAAAAAATAAGTAAACTTCCACTTTGAAACTCTAGACGAAGCTCCATATTGTGGACCAAAATACAGCATTAAGTAAGTAGGTAATTCGATGTTGTTTGAATCGCTCACAATCGTAATGTACAGTGCACCACAACTTAAAATCGTCTATAAATTTAATCGTATTTCTCGAATAGAAACGATATTATTACAGTAATATTATTCTCATTGGGGTACGCGGTCAAACGATTTGAAACCATTCGCCTCGAAGAGACAAACTGCGGTGATGTAGCGTATAATATAGATCCATTTGATATCTACAACACATTATTTTCCCGTAAAATTAAGCATAGGCTATCGTAATATGCGGTAAACCATAATAACATTGCAATTTATATCCGTCTCATTAATATAAATATATATTTTACGTACAAACTTCAATAATATAAAAATAACGTATATTATTATCGACCGTGTCCTTTGGGCCGCGAATAACCAGACCACGACTACTACGCATTTTATGATACGAATTCATGTGAATAAATATAATATGTGTGTATGTGTGCACATTATAATTCTAAATTAATTAACTTATCGATGCATCTATTATAACAATACGTAATTGCAACGAAAACTACGACACGTGTTTCAATAGCTAATTACTTCAAAATACTCACACCATATCATTGCTCGAAATGTTACACGCATATTAAATTAATTTACATTAGTCTTACTTGATTATTAATATCGCAGAGCTTAGAGCTTTTACCGATAACTATAAATGTTTATACTATTATTATTATTATTATTATTATACACTTCAATCCGTTTTAAATGTATGCTCTCGGCAGTTGCACAATAATAATATGATATAGAGGTGCCTACCGTCGAATGAACGATGTATGATATGAATTCACATCAATCATAAAGTATATGTAACATTATTGTGTTGATATCTCATTCATAACAACAGACGTACATAAAAAACGATAGGTACACGGCCGTAAGACGAAGAAACATTTTGACGAAATACGTATCTTTGTCAATTATTACTGCTATTATTATTGTCAGGGTACACCCGCTTGTTACTTATAAGTTATAATTAATGTTTTATACGAAACTCGTTTTACCATAGGCCAATAGGTCATATAAACCATACGGTATAAAATGGGTGCACGCGCATATACCTATAGTCTA